GATATGTGTCGCGACAGAGCAAAGACTTGAACCAAAACGGGCCGATAGACAGCGGGTAACCATCGCTGGTCTGCATCTTTCGGTCATCGAATCGCCAAAAGTGTCGGTCTTTGAAAAAGTATGTATTTTCTAAAAGAGTGTCCACAAAATACAGGCCATCAGAATATGTATGGATTAATTAGTAAATATATTTCAACGCTTACTATCGATAGACCACTGGAAGGCGGAGTCGAAGGGAACGGGAAATCCCTTCCAGACAGAGGCCGTGTCTCGCGGGTAATCCATATCAACCCGATTCTTGACCGCGTCGTACATCCAATACTGGGAACCGCTAAACAGATAGACGTGTTCGTTGTGACCCCAAACCATAGCCGCGTCCACTCGATCCAAATGTGCCGGAAGTCCTTTTAAATTATAATTAAATTAATGCAATTAATAACCAAATATTTAATAAACATGATATAAAGCCTACCGATGGATGTGAGCGGTTGTGGATATCCGCCCTCTAAACGATTTTTGCTATTGAATACGTAAATGCGTTTATCGATGAAGAACACAATCTTGGCGTCTTTGGGGCGCTCGAAGACGGCGTCCACTTTAGTTAAGCTCTTTGGCAACTCTGGCCAGTAGTGGATGATTTCCGTGGGCTCAGCCCTGTCTATAGATCGGTCGGGTTTTAACCACCAAAAGTACTGCAAAAATAACAGTCGCTTTAAATTTGTTTTATTTTTTTTTGTTTTCTAACAAACCTTTGACTTAAATACAAAAATTTCTCTTCGTATGGAAGCGATGGCATCGATACTCATATTGCATGGGTTCGGGAATTCGGAAGAAAACTTAGGTATTGTTGACAACTTTGTATGAGTCGGACGGTTGGTCTGAGGATAGTTAGGCGTTGGCAGTGATGGGTATGACGGCCCCGGACGTGATGGGTCGCGAGCACCTATTTATTTGTGTAATTCATTATACAGTGTTTGCAAACTCATCAAATTTGTCTTAAATTAATGCATTTAACATCTAGTGATGGACTTACCATAAAGTTGTTGTATAGCAACCGTGTCGTCGTATGGCAGCCGAAAGTCTTCACTAATTGTCTGATAGTATGGAAACATTAGGGAACCCGAGACTGACGAGTGGGCCAAACCCAATGAATGG